TTTTCTTTCTTAGAATAACTATTGAGATAAGGAAATATATATAGCTTAATAAGTCATTGATCACCCTCCTAAGGCATTGCCAACAATGGTGGTATTTTTGTTGCTAGTTATCATTGTTTCATTTTCCTAGCACATAATAGGAATTTGGACAAGTCTTAATCATCTAAGCATCTCTTATGCTATTTCAATAGTAGCATAGTGACATTCTTCTAGAATGGTGATTTAACCAAGCAAGCAGCATCTGCCTCTAATTCAGTTCCTTTCGAGATGACAAGTAGCATATATCTGAAATCACCACCCAATATTATTACTTTTCCACCAAATGCCGTTTCATTCCCGATGACATCTTTCCTGGTGTTGTTGATGGCTTGCACAGAATGTGGATGCATCATTGACACTTCATCCCATATTAGTATAGATGCCCTTCTACTTATAGACTTTGCTAAATTTGACTGCTTGTTAATGGAACAGACTGAAGAAGTGTTTGGAGTTAAAGGTAATTTTAACCTTGAATGGGCTGTCTGAGCTCTCGAAGAAAGATTTGTCGCTATGCCAAATGTTACAGTTGCTAATGCTACATTAAACCATCACTTCTTATGGTCGCCAAAATATCTCAATACAAAAATGTTCTTCCAAGTACCACCAGGACCATCCATAAAGAACATCACACGCTTTCAATTCATTGACAATCGAAATGATGGTATCATAAGTAAATTGCTGATCTCTATTTAGCATCTGAACTGTACTCAACTTATCAAGGGTATATGTATTCATAGCTCATCTCTTTGGTTTCACAATCCTATAGTGAAAATTTTGAGCCATTCTTGGCAAATCATAATCAGACATGTTTACCGTGATATATGAAAAGGGCATTTAGCTCTTGCAGGAGTTTATATTTGATAATGGCACTTCTACGAGGATGGATAATCCTTTACCATGAATAAGTAAAATTCTTCCCACAGCCTTCATTCACCAAGTGGTTGGTAAAACAGAAAAATTCTTAAGCACTTGGCATTCGGAACATCGCTACTTCGAGCAAGCAATGTCATACACTTAGGTCATTTTACAATGACATTCTGCAATCGGCTTAATTGTTCGATGCAGACTTCTGTTAATAATAGTTAATTAATCTTTAAAAGACTTTACTCTTCTGACATGATTTAAAAGGACATTCATAGGGATGGATTTACATCCCTTTGAGAAGAAGACACGTGTTACCATCACTGCCATTACTATTTCACACCTAGAGATTTGTGACCGATATAAGTACTTAAGTTTTGGTTCAGATTTAAAAGGACTCTCTCCCTCAGAAAGGGCACGTTGGATGAACTTTGGCGCCATTCTCACCATTCATTGTCATACGAACCGTTAGTCATCACATCGAGGCTCCTTACTCGTGACATTAGGTCTGATCTTCGGGTTTGGTCGCTAACATTTGGTGCTCTCATTGAGAGTTGAACTCAAGAATATCCCTTTGCAAAAGTGCCTTTACGGACATCAAGGAAACGGCACAGCCTCTGAGCCAACATAGACGTGGACATATGCCCAAAGAAGTCAAGTCTAGCACTCCTATTACCTAATGTATGCAAAATCCATCAATGGTGGAAAACATGGTGAAACTCCAAGGTCAAGTAAAATACTTAACAGAAGTGGCTCAAAATTTGGTTGCCATAAACTAAGGGGCAAACTGTTATGAAATAACAAGATAATTGACAAACCACGTTTTGTTTTTGGTACAGGAAACAGGGGCAAACAGAGAGTTTCTATTTCTTAGTTCACTCTCAGCCAACATTTTTCATTATTGAGTATTTAATATGTACAATGAGTCATTAACAAGCATAAACAAGAGATTACACTTGTTAAAACTATCTAAACAAGTGTTACATCAGATTGAGAGTCTCTCATGCAAAGTACTATGTAGTAGATAAAAATTGAGAAAATTGTGAGAGATAACCTTCCTTGCAAGCTCAATTCAAAAATATGATTCATTATAATTTGAACTACTTTTAGTCAATTTTTGACATAACTTGATAACAATGCTCTTTAAACAATTTTAGACAAATTAAAATGGTTTTAGTTTTCTCTATCTCACTATCTAAATAAAAATTTTAAAATTAAATCTCGATTTCTCTCTCTGACCAAATACGGTCTATCTCGCTCTCTAACTTTTTCTCGCCATCTCAAAGAGCAGAGATGACATCAAGCTCTTTCTTATTTTTTTTTATTTTTTTGGATGGTGGATCTTAGGGTTCTCAAGGGCAATGAACAACGATTTTGCTCGTTTATGCTGATTGCAGCCAACATGAAGAATGCAGTAACTAGATGCTTTTTGGTGATAACTTGCTTCAAAATGTGTGCTGCGATAGAGATGCCCGTGTTGATGAGTTGGATCAGATTGGTTGAGATGATGGGCTCAAGGAGAAAGAACAGGTAAAACATGTTTGATGGGTTTTATGATGATTCACGGTTTTGTTGTGTTTGGAATTGAGATGATTGTTAAATATGTTTGTTGGGGATTTTGTTTCTTTTTATGGGATTTTGAGTTGGAATTGTTCAAAGAATATTTTGTAAAAGGAGTATATTTCGTTTTGCATAAGGAGAGTGAGCACGACCCTCCTCGATAGGGATATATTTTTTTTTACTTTGGAGAGTTATGGAGTTTTGTAACCTTTCTTTTATGAAATGCACAATTTCATGGCTTAGCAAAAAAGAAAAGTATGTGTTTTAGTTTCTTGACTTTATTGGTTTATTCATAAAAACTTAAAGTTGAGGAATTGAAATTGATTAGACATATTTGTATATTAGAACACTATATGACTTTGGCAACTTAAACCTAGCTACGAACAGACAAATCAATTAGTTATTAGATATTACATTACTAGTTTTTAGGCATTATGTCACTATTTTTTAAGTATTGCAATACTGGTTTTTAGTTAGTACGTGACTTAATCATTATGTGACTGATTTTTAGACATTATGTGACTGGTTTTAGGCATTGCATAACTAGTGTTTAGGCATTACATGACTAATTTTTAAGCAATGCTTAAGTCACACAATGCTTTATTAACTAGTCACGCAATACCTTACTAACTAGTCATGTAATTCCTTACTAATAAGCCACGTAATGCCTTATTCACAGGTCACACAATGCTTGTCAACTAGCCCACACAATGCCATATCAATCAGTCACGTAATACCTAAAAATTAGTCATGCAATGCTTCAAAACTAAGTCACGCAATGCCCAAAGTCAATCACGTAATCCTAAAAAATTAGTAACGTAGTGCCTAAAAACTAGTCACACAATACCTAAAAATCGATTACGCAATGCCAAAAAGCACCAAAACTACTGAGTTCCATTTAACAAGATTAACAAATTCAAACGATACATCATATTTCATTTAACAACATAATTAACAAATATGCCTACTTGACAAAGAATGCCAAAATACTCAAAGGTTTTTCTTCATATATCAAATATCACTCCAAAATGCTTAAAATGCTCAAAACGCTCAAAGGTTTTTCTTTATGTATCAAAACCTACCCCAAAATGCTCAAAATGCTTAAATATTTTTCTGGTAAGGAATACTCCAGAGATGAATGGTCTGACTAGGAAAGCTCAAAGAATATGAATCAGTTTGAGGTGTTGACTTAAACATACTTGACTCGTTAATAGGTTTCTAGTTGAGGTGCGAAGCCAAATAAATGGGTCGATTTCATTAAGGGTAATTTTGTCTAAATTTTAATTCTCTTAGCTAAAAGCAGTTAAAATTATGAGATAGTTTATTTTCAAAAACGCCTTATGCATGAGACACATTTATAAAAAGAACTCATAAAAAATCTTCATGTTATACAGATAAGTAGCCGCACATCAAAGGTCAACAAAAGCATAAAGTCAGCAAGCATTACACACAACACTCCTCTAAAATGCTTGCATTTCCCGTTGTTAACTTATTCCTTAACAATTGGAAGCTTGATTTGCTTAAAAACTTTGTCATCATGTTTATGAACAGATCATCAACTGAACGATGAAGGATACTAATATCTCCATTCCTTTTTGCCTCTTTGAGAGCATGGTGTTTGACACCAATGTGCTTTATCTTGTAGTGAAAGACAAGATTCTTAGCTATGGCTATCACCAACTTATTATCAACATAAATTTGGTTGCTCTTTCAGGTTTCATTCCAAGATCTTCAAGGATTTTCCTAATCCAGATGGCATGATTGCCTGCTGCGGCAACTGAAATATATTCAGCTTATATAGACCATTATGCGACAATTTCTTGCTTTTGAGAGTTCCATGAGAAAGTGCCATTTTGCAAAAAGAATATGTAACCAAATGTACTCTTGCAATCATCTACACAACCCCCCCATCATTATCAAAGAAGCCAACCAATTCAATTGATTTTGAGCTTTTAAAGAGAAGACCAAAATCTATTGTTCCTTTTAAACACCTTAAGATCCTTTTGGCAATGGTAAAATGGGTTTGATAAGGCTGTTGCAGGAATCTTAAAAGGTAATTAACAAAGAACATTAGTGTAGGATGTGAAGCACTTGAGTATAATAGACAAGCTATGAGACTTCTATACTTAAAAGAATCATTTAGGTTCTCACCAGCATCAACAAAGACTTTTTCATTAGAGTTTGATGTCGTGGCACCAGTTTTGAAATGACTCATCTGGAATCTCTTAAGGATTTCAAGAGAATAACCCTTCTAAGATAGAAATATACTATCTTTCTCTTGTTTAACTTGCATTCTGAGGAAGTAGCTCATGAAACCAAGGTCTGACATGCTAAATTCACACTGCATTTCAGCTTTGAACTCATTAAATCTTGCTGGATCTCCACCATTGACCAAAAGGTAATCGACAAAAAGAGACAAAATTAGAGGTGCTATTTTATATTTCATCTGCACATAGTATGTTGCATCATTGGGGCTCTTTAGAAATCCTTGACTCCTAAATAGGCATCTATCCTACTGTACCAAGCACAGGGTGATAGTTTCAACCTGTATAGTGCCTTGTGGAGTTTATTAACTTTATCCTTTCTAGTTCAAGCACAAACTTAGGCGACTGTTCAATATATATCTCTTCCTCAAGCTTTCCATTAAGGAAAGCAGATTTCACATCCACATGGAAGAGTTTGAATCCAATAGCTACAGATAAGGCAACAAGCAACCTGATGGTGTCGATTCTTGCAACAGTAGTGGAAGTCTCTTGGTAGTCTATACTAGCTTGTTGTGAAAACCCCATCACCATGAGTTTGGGTTTGTGTTTATTAAGAGTCCCACCTGAATTCAATTTGTTTTTGTAAAGCCACTTGACCCCAATAACTTTACAATGGCTTGGTCTATCTATAAGGGACCGAGTTTTATTCTTCTCGATCATATCTAGCTCTACTTTTATGGCTTTCATCCACCCATTAGGTAATGAGGCTTTATCAAATGAGCTGGGTTCAGATAAGACCATTTGACATCTATTATAAACATCTTCAAGGGATCGCAATTTTCTTACAGGTGCCTCATCCATTGTTTGGTTGAGATCAATATCATTAGTAGAGATATCTTCATTATTAGAGCCATTTAAGAGTCTGTCAGTAGCTATCTAGCTGTTCATTGATTGGACTAAATTTTCAGCTTGGTTTCATTCCCAATTCCAACTACTGTCTTCATCAAATTTTTAGCTTGGATTGTAACTTATGTTAGAATTTTAATTTTAAAATTTAAATATCCTATTATTTTTAATGGTGTTAACTTTAGATTCCATGATAAGTGATACGGTTTTAATGGGATTGTGATAACTACATATTTTTTGAATGGGATCATGATAATTACCCATTATCTTTGAAAATTCCCTAATTTTGAGGTAGTAGTTATTTCCTTAATGAGAGGGATTTTGCTTACAAAATATATGTATGGGTTTCTAACTTAGGGTAATTTTTTAAGAGAAAAACAAATACCATATTACCATCACTATAAATTGCTATTTGGGTTGAAAGAACTCATATGTAAAAGATTAAAGAATTTCTGAAGAAAAGGCTTGGAACGTGTGAAAGAAGAAGCTTGATATTTGCTATGGCTGGAGGTTAGTGTCATGATCCTTATTGAGTAATGATTTGGTAGGCTTATCTACAACAAACAAAGGTGCACTATTATTCATTATTTATATATGTGTACATACATATGTTTGTGAATATATTTAACATGTGTAATTAGAGTTAGAATAATCTCTGTTTAGCATATCTAAGATATAATTCGAATTGTATATTTATAATTTTTTTGTATACTTCTAAATTATTATTTTAGAAAATTATTTAGAGAAATAATGAACCAGATGCATGTTTGATATATTTTTGTCAAGTTTCAAAATTATTGGAATCTTATATGACATATGTTTATCAGTATTTGGTTTGTTGAAATAAGTAAATTTTTGTTTTGTTTATATGCTTGAGCATGATAATACTATTTAATCAAGTTACTACCTATCTCATGCTGGAACCATTTATGTCATGGAGGCTCAATGTATTTAAGATTTTGGGCTTGTTTGACTAAATAGTCTAGGCCAGAATATATTTATGCTATTTGTTTGGGCTAGAATAAATATTATTGGGTTTTGTCTTTTATGTTAAGCTAAATACCCAAATAAGCCCTGAACTTTGTCAAAACAATCAATTCAGCCCTTATCCTTTTATTACTTTCAAATAAACCCCTGAACTTCTATTTTGAGTGAAATAAGACTATCTCCTTAACCATTGACTAACTTTCATTAATGAACGATATATGTCGCACTTTTATACTATGTCATTTGTCATATGGCAGATGACGTAGCATTAAATATTATTGATTGGGATTTGTGTGCTTACTCTTTTACCCATTTACTCAATCCTAATCAACAATATTTAATGTCACATTATTTGCCATATGGTAGATGACATGGTATAAAAGTGTCATATGTACTGTTGACTAACTTCTCTTAGTCAACAGTTAGGGAGATGGGCTTATTTGACCTGAAATAAAAATTTAAGGGCTTATTTGAACGTAATAAAATGATAGGGGCTGAATTGATATTTTTTGACATAGTTCAAGGGCTTATTTGGGTATTTAGCCTTTATGTTATTAGTCTGGACTAGAATAAAGAATATTAAGATTTGTCTTTTATGCAATTAGTTTGGATCAAAATAAAGAATATTGGGTGTCGTCTTTTCTACTATTAGTCTAGACCAAAATAAAGAATATTGGGTGTTTTGTCTTTTTATGTTATTAGTATGAACCATAATAAACAATATTAGGCTGAGCATATTTATGTTATTAGTTTGGGCCAAAATAAACAAATATTGGATTTACTTTTATACAATTTGTCTGGACTAGAATAAATGGACATTAGGCATAGTTTATTTATGTTTTCTGTTTGGGTTTATTGGTTGTTAATTTGAATAGACTCTTATGTGTCTAAAACTAATGGGCCAATAAACCTAAAAAAAGGTAAACTCATTTAAATGAAGCTAATTTTGGGTCTAATTTTGTTTTCTAGATCTATTTTGTTTGACTATATGGAAGAAGTTTACCTACTCAAAATTAAGCTCATTCATTTATTTGGTCAAGACATTATTAGTATAATAAGTTTAATTTATATTATATTTATTTTGTGTATGTCTTGATTGTTATTGTGATGTCATGTGATCATATATATTTGAATAATTAAGATTAGCCACAACATCTTAATTATGATATGATATACATTAAGTAATTTTTTTAATTTATTTGGATCACATCAAGTTTCAATTACATCATATTGTAATTAAACATGCTTGTATAATTATTTTACCCCACAAGGAAATTATTATATTTTCATGATTAATTAGGATGACATAGAAATATTTTTATTTCTTAATTAGCCCATAGGTATTAGAAAATATTAATAATTTTTAATTTCATCATAAAAGTTAATGAATCATTATGTGTTAGAATCTTTGCCCATAGTTAGATTTTGATGACATGTTGATGCTTGTATATTTTGATTTATCTTACATTGGTAAGCCTATCTTTATGATTGATGGCTTGTATCCCATATATTATTAAGTAAGCATGTTTATTTACTTATTTATTTATTTGTAGTTGATCAAACTTTGATGGTTTCTAATGATAAAGTTCCTTACTTGAATGGTGACAAATATAAAGGGTGGAAGGAGAGTGTTTTCTTTTTCCATTTAGGATGCTTAGACCTTGATTATGCTCTTTGTAAGGATAAGCCTATTGTACCTACGAGTACTAGTACTCAAGCAGAGATAGCATTGTATGAACGATGGGAACGGTTAAAACCATTTAAGTATGATGTTTATCAAATCTCACATTATGATTAGTATTTGTGGGTTGATATTTGATTGTAAGAATGTCAAGGATCCAATGAAGGCTATTGAAGAGCAATTTGAGTCTTCTGATAAAGCATTTGCTAGTACCTTAATGAGCAAGTTGAAATCGATGAAGCTCACTAGCGTTAAAGGTGTCTGTGAGCACATTATGCAAATGAGGGATATTGTTGCTCAATTAAAGTCTCTGAAGATGGAGATTTCTAATGATTTCTTGGTGCACTTTATCTTGAACTCTCTTCCATCTCAATATAATAGTTTCAAAATCTCTTATAAGAAACATAAGGATAAATGGTCAATTAATGAACTTTTGACCATGTGTGTTCAAGAAGAAGTAAGATTTATTTTGGAAATGGGTGAAAGTGCATATCTAGTAATGGGAAATAATAAGCAGGCCTTTAACCAGAAAGAAAAGGGAAACTCGAATGCAACTAACAAGTTGAATGGACCTACTCATACTAAGATGAAAGACAAATTTAGGTGTTTCTTTTTTTTTGTTTTGTAAAAACAAGGGACATATGAGGAAGGATTGTCCTAGAAGGAAGGTTTGACTTAAAAAGAAAAGTAATCTCATATATTGTGTGTGTTATGAATCTAATATGGTTTATGTTTCCCATAACAACTGTGAATTGACTTTGGTTGTACAATCCATGTCTCTAATGTAGGGTTTTCTAAACCTAAGGAAACCAACTAAACGTGAATGCAGCATCTATTTTGAAAATCGGATGCCTTCACATGTGGAAACTGTTGGAACGCATAGATTAGTTTTATCAACTAGTTTTGTTTTGGATTTAAAACGAACTTTTTACATTCCAAGGTTTTCTAGAAATTTAATTTCTATTTCAAGACTTGTACCTTTGGGTTTTTCCTTCAACTTTTTTGGAACATCCTTTAATTTATTTAAAAATACAATTATTGTTGGAAAAATGTACAATAGATGATTGTTTGTTGAAAAATCATTTAAATGAAAGTGTTCCTTATAGTTTGATGGTTTCACATGATACTGCTAGCATTAAACGTTGTGTTATGAGTGAGAAAACTTCCATATTATGGCATCAGAGATTAGGGCATATCTCCATTGAGAGAATAAAAAGAATAATAAACAATGGAATTTTAGAATCTCTTAACTTTATTGATTTTGATACTTGTGCAGACTACATGAAAGGAAAATAGACTAACAAGACTAAGAAAGGTGCCAAGAGGAGTTTTGAAATTTTAGAAGTCATACTCGCTGATATTTGCTACCCTAATATGTGCTCAAGTGGTCAGAAATATTTCATCACTTTTATAGATGATTATATACAATTTATGTATCTCTACTTGCATCATACAAGAATGAAGCTGTTGTTGATTTTGTACACACAAGTATACGTATCGAACAAGCAATATAGATAGTAAGTCCAGATTATTGTTCCCACAAGGATTTGTTTCTAAAGTTTCACTAAGTACTAAAATTATATAACAAATTCATCTTATTTAAATACCTTGAAAATCGAAAAGGTAATCCAAAAAAAAAATTTAAAAGAAATACTAAATTAACCAACAGAAATATCTTGAGAAAAGCAATATATTAAAAACCTAGGATCGTGGGTTCATTCAACACTTCATTTAATAATAGCTTTTCTTGTTATTTATCTTTCTTGGGTGGTTTTACTAACCTAGAATCCAAAGCTACCAACAAGTTTCTGTCGAGATGCTTGTACAAATACCTAACTCAATTAGTTTACTATATGTCTATAGGAATCAATCAAATTAAGTTTATTAAGCAAGTATCCTAATTTAGCTATGTATGGCAATTAACGTATGTTTACCCGAATCGCGAATCAGATCACTTAATTGACGTGTGCATACACTATTCAAATCTTAGTCCAACTTAAAAGCTCTCTGTCAAGTTTTGATTAGATTCACAAATTAACGAATTGTTGATCAGGTAATTACAGGTATTAAGAAAAGATTTGAATAAGCAAAATGATACCCATTTATGATAAATAATAGAAAACAAGTATTCAGAGTATATGTTGAAATCCACCATAATCGTAGATAAGCAAATTAGTTCATAATATCTATATAAAACACTACCCAAATAAATTTAGCCTTGAATTCAAAATAAAAGAATACGAATAACAAAAAAGGAAAGAAATAAACTAACGTCGAAGCTTGGATG